AGGAAGTGAGAGGGGGCAGATGGGGGCAGGGGCCAGCCTGTTTGGGGAGGCACAGCTTTCCCTACCTGGCCCTCCATACAATTGTACAACTCCAGTGTGGCCTCAGGTCAAAAAGTTTGCCCACCCCTGTTCTAACAACTCTTAAGTTCTCCTTTTGTAACTGTTTCATAATTGGGTGGGCCATTATAGTGGTTGATCTTTGGATTGTACAGTAGCTAGAGCAAAGGGTCTCTGGCCAGTATTGGGAGGGTGAATAGGGTGGAATGAGATCTCCATCTAGAGTGGGATGATGGGTGCAGGTTGCTGAATGGTTAGTAGGTGGACATGTGAGATGGACTAATGCACTAGTTGAAGAGATGCACTAGTGCACTAGTGGAAGGTGCTCAGATACTATGGTGATAAGCATAGTATAAGAACCTATATAGAACAGAAAGTTGTGGTCCCTGGGAAAGCATGGAAGAAAAGGTTGTCTAGTCGTAAGTTAGTAATAGGCTCTATTACAATTTGAAAGCCAGTATGAAGTGTTTCCTTTGGGACAGTGGTGTGCTTTTTCTGTGTCTTGACCGTTAGGTGGGAAAGTTTGGCTGGGAATAATAGGGCAGAGATAAAGCTGGTTTAGAAATTTTGACTGCAAATTCTCTTACTTTCATATGTGATTTGTTAGTGGTGTTAGCTAGCAACTAGAGGGTCTAGCCGAGAGCAGGGCTTCATTGTGCTAGGTGCTGTACATGCATAGTAAGAGACATTTCCTACCCTGAAGAAGTAGACAAGACAGACAAATGTGGGAGAAAAGAAGTACAGTCCCGGTTTTACGGATGTACAGCTCTTTGAAGATTTGAGCTTGAGTTGTAACTGTGTCTGATCTGAAGCTGAAAATAAGAACTGGCCTCCCACCTCCGTGGTTGGAAGTGGCACCAACTGGTAGAAAAAACTATCTGCCCATCTGCTTGACTAAATTCCTGTTCTGGCTCAGCTCAGATTGCCATGGCCTGTACTGCCCTTTGGGAAGCAAGCCTATAGCTGACTGTAGTGCTCTTCCCAAAGTGCCATATGGGGCATAACTGGTAGTGTTGACAAGGAAGCTGAAGCAGGGAATAGTTCTTTCTCATCTTCATATTGGTCAGCTAGTACACCCAGGATTTTTAAATGTAGGTCAGAGCAGATCTGCAGCTTGTCCTTGAGGGAGGGGACATGCAACACAATTTTCTTTTTTTTTAAATAATACACTTGGCTGGGAAGAAGTGGGGGGAGGGAAAAGACCCAAGGCAACTTCTGTTTTGTTTTGTTTTGTTTGGCAAACAACTTGCGGGTCAGGTTGTTCTTGTAAGGAGCCTTAAACTGTCTTAGCCTCTCCCCTGCTCTGCTTTTCGGTAGGATGAGTGGAGTATAAAACTGAGGCTCCAATCTGCAACAAGCACCGTGTGAGTGGACCCCTGTTTCTGGGCTGAGCTCTGCTGACTTCATTGGGGCTTTACCTGGGTATGGGGGTCCATGTGTAGAAAAGAGTACCTCAGTTTTGGAAAGCAGGGCTCTGGGTAAAGATACCAGACACTGTCAAAGAAAGAAGGATGAATGGGTAAAAAAAGGGTACAAGAGAAGCCAGGAGATGATAGAAGACATAGAACAGGAGTACAGAGAGCCTGGGGAGACAGCAGGCAGAGGCTGGGTCTGGAGCCGTTCAGCAGCCGTCCTGCTCCCTGCGTGCTGCAGAGCCATGCCCAGGCTGGCTACTTGCCCCGAGTTGGCAGCTGATGATTCAGAGCTCTGTGGTTCTTACGCAAGAAGAGATTCCAGCCCTTGCTCTAGGGGCAGGGCTTGGGCACTTTGGGGTTATAAAGTGGCTGGGTATGTGGCCAGGAAGGCAGAGACAGCCAGGTCAGCAGCTGTGAGCACTAATGCTCAGACCGGTAAGGAGGGGAAAGGCTGCCATTGGCACCCTGTGTGAAGCCTGGGAGCAATAGAAATAGCTTTTGTGTGTGTGTGTGTGTTTGTAATGTAGTGTAGTATAGCGTAATGTAGATGTGGAGAAGAGGGTGTGTAAGAGAGGGAGAGAGCGCACTAAATAAATAGGGCTTCTGTTAAGGGTTTTGTCCTATTTTGTCACTTATAGTCTTTTGCATTTGAATCTCTGATCCCAGAATCCAAACTATCTGCAACAGTCTGTTTTGCACCTGGAGAAAGTAGTTCCAGAGGCGTTTAAGATGGCATCCTTAAGTGTGGTGTCGCTCTGCTCTGAAAAGTAACTTTGTGTTTGTTTGTGTGTTTGTTTTTTAAAAAAAGCATGATGTGGTTCCACATTTAGTATGTCAGATATTGCTCACTTCACAAGTAAAGAATTTTTTTTCTCCCCTAATTGTCAGCCTTTCAAGCTCAGAACACAGCGTGGCTTTCAGGTACCAAGCTTTCTGGCTCTTGCATTTTCACCAGTAATAAACTTTCTAAAGGGCAAATGCTGCTCTCACTTACAGTGATGCAGCATTATTGTGGGTTTGCACAAATATAAACAATAGTGTAATTTTAAGCCTGTAGAGTTACACACATGGCCCTACAACTGGAACTTAGTTAATCGTTTTTTTCATGGTACATGAGCCAAAAGTATCCAAGTTTATTCTCTCAAACTAAAGTTATTGTTCTGCAGGGATGACTGTTGTAATAACTTTGGTAAGTAAAGTGAGACTCAGTGCACCGAAGGAACAGATCAGCTGAGTAAGAAAATGCCATTTTTGCATAATCACATTTCAGAATAGAACTGAACTTTAAATGATAAATAGTACCACTACTAGCTGGAGACTCACTTCTGCAGTGCAGTCTATTATACAAGGTATATCTTGGTATTATGATAATGTGAACAGACTTTCTAACAAAGAGCACTGCAGTGCAGAACAATGAAAGTGTTAAGCTGTGTGTAGGTGCAGTGTGACAGCTTCACTGCTCAACATAATCTTGTCTATATCAGTGAAACTAACAGAGGGATTCCCTGTGGTGATACATTTAGTAAGGCAGAGGAGTCTTCTGGTTCTTCAGGGAGTCTTTTTTTCCCCCTTCAGTCAATAGCAGCTAGGAGGCGAGCCAGTAATGGGAACATATTACAAAAGTACCCACGAAAGCTTATGCCCAAATAAATCTGTTAGTCTTTAAGGTGCCACCAGAGTCCTCATTGTAGTAATGGGAAAGAAAAACTATGGAAAGCGGATAGCAAGAGCTAGCTGAGACAGTTATGCCTTTAAAGGGAAACCATCAACATTAAAATCAGAACTTTAACAATATTTTTTTCTCTTAAATTTGTTACTGATCCCTTAGAAACATTGACTTGAAAACAGTTTTCTCTATCACTTTGTGCTTTCCAATTCTGCAAAGTTTTGTTTTGGGCTAAAACTTCTGAGAATGGAAGGAATTTGCATTTACATCCTGGAGCTGACTGGTTTCCATGAATCAGCGTCCAGAAACCACTGTGACCTCCAGAAACCTGAAGACATTCTCTTCTGCTCCTTACAGGAATATCGTAAGACACATTTTGGAATCACCGAGGTCAATGGGGCCCCAACTTGGTGGGACTCTAGATGCTACCACAGTATAAATGTTAAATAATAATAGGAATCTTATGGGATTGTACCAGAGAAGCAGGAGGATGTGCAAGTGTTAACAGTGGAAAAATCCTAGGCAGCAGCAGAGATGGACTGGAGACCTAGGGCTTTGGGGGCTGGCATAAGTAAGTCAGGCGCTGTGGTGACTGGATAGTGGGCAAGCTTCAAGGGGAGAGAGGAAGAGAAAGGGTAACAGTTGCTCACAACAGGTAGTGAAAAGTGTAGTGTGTAAAAGTTTTAAGCACATTAAAATAGGAAACACACAAAGTTTTAAACATAATTTTAGTGACATTCACCCAAGACATTAACAAGAAAAGAGAGACATTATAGATTTGAGGGTATATTCCAAACAGTACCCAGGGTTGTTGTTTTGAAACACTTTTAGTGCCAGTAAAGAGGATTCTGGGGTATCTTTGCCTTGAAGTTGCTAGTACAGGTAGCACTTTGAAGCCAACTCCTAATTGATAGAATTAGGAAGATGCTTTCTCCGCCCACGACAAAGTAATCACTATGAAGTTTCTTGCACTTTACTTTGAAGCATCTGGTAGTGGCTACTGTCAGAGACAGGATACTGAACTAGAATGACCATTGGTTTGACCTGGTATAGCAATTCCTATATTCTGAAGTGCCATGGGTGCTGGCAAAGAGGATTCTGGGCTATATCAGAGCCCTGAAGACCTTGACTGCTGCAACTCAATAACAGTCCAGATGGGAGCGGGAGATGACATACATCAACCTCTCTCCCCATTGTAAAATAGATGTGGGGAGGAAGGAATAACAACAGAAAAGAGCCTCAGATTGCAAAACGCAGTCCAATTGTCACAAGGTATACGATGCTCAGACAATAGCTTGCTGGCCAATAGTTCTTTAGTGTCAGGAGTAGCTAGCCAGTTGAAGATATCCTTTGGTGAATAATTACATTTATAAATACCAGTGATATGGGCAGGCTCTACTGTTTGAATGTTTTTCCCCAGGGTGCCATTTTATGGGGCCAAAAAAATGCAAGGTCTGGCCTCTACCGGTTGTTTCACTTTATGAACATAGGCAGTACTGGGAGAAGTCCAGCTACCATGTAATTTTGTTGTCTCAAATGGCTTCTGAAGTAGCAACCGCACAACAGCAACAAAGCCTATTAAAATCCTACACCCAATACTAAGGTATTTGGGTTCCTATGCATAGACTTGGTACATTTTCCAATATCTCGTCTTACGGTTCTTATATTCTTCACTTAGACTATTTTCAAGATGGAACCAGTGGGATGGGAATTACTAATATTTTATTTGGGATGCAGGATTTACCTGTGAAATCCTTGAGAAGGTCTTGGTCCTGTTCTGTGTTGGTTCTTATCTTCCTAGCCATTTTTACTAGTGGGGATCTTCTCATGTATCACATTTTTGGTCTTTCTTTTTTTGACAGGAAACCAGTTCACGGAGGGACCTCTCCACCCAGCTGGTGACCTCTGTGCTCTCCTGCCTAACCATGGCAACCCCAGATGTGAGCGTTCACATGGAGGAGGTGGTCGTGGTAACGACACCTGACAATGTGGTTGATGGCAGTGGTGTGGAAGAAGTGAAAACTGTGCTAGTGACCACAAACTTGTCTCAACATGGGTAAGAAATGGCTTCACCATATGCAATAGAAGTGATATGGAGGTTGGGGCTTTAATATTCAACCCAAGCAGACATAAAATACCCACAAAATACAGGGTTCAGAGTAGGAGTGAGAGTCAGTCCCTTATGATCCTGCCTGTGCTGTGCTTGGTTGACTTATTCCTTGACAAGGGAGGACCAAGATTTCCCCCACCACATTGGATACCATGCTAACCAAGTAGAGTTTGATTAATAATCCCCATATCCCCTTCCTGATAATCTGTGGCCAAGTACATGTAGCCAGGAAAACAGCGTTTACCAACAGCTGTTAAACTTCGGAATGGCCAAGTTGGGTTAAAATTGGGCTTTAGCTGAGTGTCTTGTCTACACTGTAATTTCTACTATGTTGAAGGAACTTTAGTTACAACACTGACATTGTTAAAACATGGTTTGGTTTTGTAGTATACACTGTTCCCAAATAGGGTTTAATCCTATTCTGCTACAATCCTGGACTTTGGCTGACCTGACATGAGACTCAGGGCCATGGTAAAAATCACTTTGGTTTTGTCTACCCTGCAGGCCCAAACCATGTTGTACCCTGGGTCGGAGACAACCAAATTGCCTGATATTGCAGGAATTGCTGCAAAGACAAAACTAGGCTTCTGCTTGAGCTAATGCTTTGATTTTTTGAGTTTGGTTGGTCTTATCCATACATGCTGTACTAAACTGTATTATAGCTTGGTTCAGGTACAGTAGAGTTTAATCACTGTTGTTAAGCTCTTTCATTTTTGCAGCATGGATGGAGACTATAGCAGGGTTTTAAAACACAAAGTTCTTGGTTGAGGGGAATGTGATGCATTCATGTCCACACTAGCCGTGGAGACTGTTAGTTGCTGGAATGTCTTAAACTGTAATGCAGACAGGCCCTGAAGCAAAAGGGGGATATCTCCTCCCAAACATTCAAGATGGACAGATGGCTTTAAATTAAAGCCAAAAAAGTTAAAGTAAATGTTGCTGTTTTCTTTGGGTGAGTGGGGAAAGAATACAGGGTACAGCACTCTCCTCTCCATGAAATCATGTGAGGAAATCCTTTTGCAATCCCACACTCTCACCTCCCAGCATTTTGCTGACATCAAATAGGTGTCTCTTCTCATATTAGGAACAGGGCAGATTCCAGTGGTTTTCTCCTTGAATCACCCTTATGCTTACTTGCTAAGACATACAAAGTAATAAGGTAGGGAGAGAGGGCCTTCTCTTGAGCAGCAGTTAATTGACCACTAGTTCAATCTGCTGTACTGTGGAGACATTAACCGTTTGCTGAGTCTTTTACTCTTCTTCTACTGCAGTATCATTAGTTTGAGAACCATATATTTTAGAGATGGAAAAGACATGCTAGGTTATCCCTAGAGAGGAGGTGGGGAGGTTTTATGGTTAAGGCACTTGAATGGGACAAGGGAGATCTGGGCTAAATTCTTAGCTGTGTCCAGACTGCCTGTGTGACCATGGATAAGCCACTTAGTCTTTCTGTACCTTAGTTCATCATCTGTGAAATGGGAATAATGGCACTTCCCTACCCCTCACAGATACTGAGGATAAATTTGATAGTGTTCAGCAGGGGCTCAAGGTCATATAAATACCTAGACAGAGCCAGTCTCCTTGCTAGTGCAGGATTCTTTTCTTTTTTTTAAACACATGTTTAGGCATCCACATATGTACTGAGTTTTACATCTTTTTTACTCTGTTTTTCCTCCTCTTTTTCTTTTTTCAGGTCAGCAAATGTCTGTTAAATGCAATTAAATAATCATTTCAAGTCAACAAAATGGTTGAAACAAAAATTAAATAACAATAGGTAGCTCCAGATGATCCTATGCTAATGTAATTTTAAGAAAACTGGAAATTGATTGAAATAACACGCTGTACCAACTACCTTGGATTAGTAGCGTTGTCCCTCTAAGCATAATGCACTAACAAAACCTACCACTGGAATACTTAACTCTCTTATTCAAAATTTGCATCAGCAGGGTGTGCAGGCCAGCTTGATTTGCATAGATTTTTATTATGTTAAGGCCATAATTCACTGTAGTGCTGGACATAGAGGCAAGATTATATTTCTAATGAAGTGAAGAGTCTATTAGATGCTGAAGTCCTTTATGTATCAATGCTTCAGCTACAGTATAGGTAGACCACGCTGAGATAACTGGGTTAGCTTCTGAGAGTCTGATGCTGCATTCCTTGCACAGTCCAAATTCCCATTGACTTCATTTATCCTTGAGGTAATTGGCAATACAGTCCCCATGCCAGCTTATTCCTAAACTCCTCAAACACAGATCACACAGTGTCCTGCTGGTTTGGGTGTATTTTAGTAGTAGGAACCACCATCCCCTCTGGTGTGAGCTGAAGCCTTCTAAACTAACATTATTGAGGATCTTAAAATACAAATCTCTTCTACAAAATGACTTTGGAAAAAGGATACCATGAGAGTCCATATGTACTGTTTCTCAAAGACTCCACTTCAAATATGTAGTTCATAAGTAAAAAGATGCTGCTTCTAATTTTCATCCCTACAAACTCATCCTGGAGAGAGTAACTGGGCTCTTTCTATCTCATGCATCATTGTGACCAATAGGACTTCAATAGCATCTGTGCAACTCCTCTGTCTTCAAATTATGCACTCAGTGACATCTCCGTTAGCCTGCTATCTTCAGTGGGACTCTATAGCTGTAATGATTGGAACTTACTGGTAATTCTGTTTAATACTCAAAGTAGAATAGAATCCACAGCTCATTCTATCTTAGAGTAGAAAAGCAGTACAAACTGTTTTTGGATACTAAGCAGATAGGATTTTGTACACATAAGGAAAATGTCTTTTAAATTAAAAAGTACCATTTTTAAATGGTCACTTTTCAGAGATGTGCATGTTAAGGTGGACATGAATCAGTTGGGAGTGAAAACAGGTGACTAAATCGGTGTTTTAGTCACTAAACCGTGTGCTCCATGTCAGGAAATTGACCCAGAACTGTTTTCATGTTGTGATATAGCAAAATCTTTTGTTTGCAATGTGTATTTTTGGGTCCAGGATTTTAGCAGCATTCTGCAGGAACCTTCTTTCTGTAATTTTCAGCAGCGCCAGGGGAATTACTAATAGGCCGTTAGCAATAAAGATGACAGATGTCACTGAAAACACTACCGAGATATAGAACAGAGTTGTGCTTCTCAAAATCCTACATAACAGTGAACTTGGAATGGTTGTAAAATATTGTTTCTCTCATGTTTCAAATCAGTTTTTAAGTTGATACTCTAGATACGGTACTGCCTGGTTTGTGTTGGTTCCTTATTTTCCTAGACTTTCCTAGATTGTCCTAGATTGGCTAACTCTTTGTGTTCACAAAATGAAAATGGCCTGTTTGTACACAGAAGTCCTAAGTAGTGAAGGGCTGTTTGTGTTATTTGGTTGAATTTTCCTTGGCACATCCCTGGCTTATACCCAGAGCATGTATACATGTTGGTGCTTCCAGAGTTTCTGGATTTTCAGTAGGCAGGAAATCCATGTTCATATTTACAACTGGCTCCAAACAGATTTCTTTGACCAAAACGATCTCTTGTTTGAAATAGATTGGGAAGTCTGCTGCCATTTACTGTCCTTCATAGGAAACATGCTTGTCCAGTTTCCACAAATACATTCCACTCCAACTGTATCACATTCTTCTTACTGCTCTGGGGAAGTGCATCAGGTTACAATGTCCATGTTCCAGAAGGGTCAGTAAGGGTAATACCATTCCTATCATTCTGCTGGAACCAGCCTTAAAGATCTTTGTTAACAGGCTGTTATGAAATAGGCCATGCCAGTAAGAAATGGGCCATTCCATTGGCTTCCAATTCAACCTGCCCAATAGAGATGATGTGTTATTTTCCTTCATCCCCAAGAAAGTGAGGATGGGAATTCTGGGGAAAGGGGGGTGTGATGTTAAATGCAATTAATGTGCCAATTGTGAGGAAATTGGCTTCTCTCATCTGACATCTCTTGGATGCTTATATGTTTGCTATTGGCAGAGCTGTTTTCTCCCAACTTAATAGATGGTGATGGGAAGGAATGGGCCAGTTCTTTCCCCTTTCCCTTTTGTAAAGTTCCATGCTGTTTGTGCTTGCATTAACCTCCATAGGCTGCCCATCAGGGAAGCAGTCAGACGTGAAACTGGGAAGCTGCTGTGTAAGATGGGTGCTAAATAGTTTTTGTTTTTAATGTGTGTGTTGCCAGGTGATCCTGTAGATCCAGTTGAAGCAGTGTAATATGCTTTTGGTGCTCTGGCCAAGGAAATGCTTGGGTGTGAGTGTTTGCCCCCCCCCCCAGCAGTTTTGAAAGCACCTTTATTTTATTTATTAATTTTTCATCTGTCCATTTGTGTCTTTAGTAATCAGGAGTGGGGTAATTCCATAGAATGGGGGGAAGAGATCTATTTTTATTCAGTCAGTCATAAGAGCCATTTTTTTCTCTGGGTGTCAAGGTGGGTGTGATTAGGAGATTTTGTTCTTTTATGAGACATCCAAAACCTGCATAATGTCTGTCCCTCTCTCTCACTCCTTCCTTTCCACCCTGGAACCTTAGCATATAGACATGACCTCAGAAGGAGACACATTTTCGGGTCTGCGTAGTGAAACTCATAGAAGATTACTACTGTCAGACAGAATGCATCTCTCTCAGCAGGTCTGCCGCATCGGTAGTAGATGAGACTCATTTTAGATTCTCTGGGCTGCCACTGCCGGGACTCCCGTCTTCTCTCAAGATTCCATAGTCAGTTTGGTTCCTACCCTTTCAGTCTCATTTTCCAATGCTTGCTGGCATAAGAAAATAACTAAGGAACCTGAATTTGGATCCTCCTGCCTTGTGTGGGTCCCAGCCTACCCTGTGAAATAGACTTTGAATTTGGCTTTTATCCCATGTGACATTTAAAACAACAGAGTCCAGATTAATGACCCTATCAAGATAGTGTTCTGGATAATGCATTTTTTCTAATGCTATTGTG